CCTGCTAATTTAATTGTTTGTTATTCCTAAGTATGGCCTACCAAAAGATGTAGATTTGATCAATCGAATCGAATATATACATATTCGAATATATATGAATATGTATACACCAAACATATGTATCTATGTAAAAATCTTTGTTACAAGTAATTAGGTACCGTTACAACAACTTAAAGGAATTTGTCGATCCGAATAATCCGATTCCGAATCTGCAAAATCGATCCATTATACCAGGTTTATCCAAAATTGGTGGTTAATACAATTATACTTAACAATTCTCACACATGGCCGTCTGATTCCAAACGAGGCAGTGGCTGTACTATGGTAACTAGACTGCTGATAAACATACTTATATTGTTATAACTTATATTATATAATATACTTATAAATTAATACATATATTTATTATATATACTTATTTCTAAATACATACAAATTCTATTATAGATAAATTACACCCAGACATAAACGATTGTGCTCATCATACAGTTATTTGTCTTGGGTGGGAAACGAACCCACGACCTCCGGCTTAGCAGGGTCTGTAACCACTAGACCATCAGGCCCATTAATATATTATATTCATAATACACTAGCTGTATCCTGCTACACTTTGCTGTGGCATGTTGTAGTTGTTATAATGAGTGATAAGTAACAAAACTAAAGCGAAAAATAGATAAAAACCAACTTTGAAGCGGGTTGTATATCGTGTCAAAATTTCAGCTCACTCGGTGCAGAACTTTTTGAGTTTGTGACCAGCATCTTATCATTTGATGTACTTACATGTACCTAACACCTTCGTTTATCTTTACTTTGCGCATCTCTCTGAAGACTGAAAAAGTACTTTTCTAATATTCGTAGACCCGATTCAGAAACATTCAATTAAGAAAATGAGCTCTGCCTATAAATCTCCAAAATAAGACTCTAAGATCAATTTAATGAAATCGCTTAAAATATATGTTTGATTGATCTTTGGGCGGCAAGGCGGATAACATACGGAGCTCAGAAGGGTGAAATTAAACAGTAATGGATATGGACTTAATACAATTGTTTCTTTAGAGACATGTTATTTTGTTATTTGGAAAGGTAAATGTATTACTTTTATTACTTTTGTAGAAATTTCTTTCGCACTTCTGCGCAGAAGCTCCGTGCCTAAGTTCGCTTGGCGATGGCAAAAATAAACTGCTTCTGAAGTACAATTGCAACTGGTCAAAATTGCTCATTAATTATTGCCCATTTTTTGTTTTCAAACATTACGCTTAATTGCACACCACTGCACTGGGTGCAGTAGTGCGTGATTAAATTATTAGGTTTAATGCTTGTCTATCTCAACCTAAGCTTGCCTAAGCCTTGTAAAACAATAATAGTTTTAATAGGCACAGGCAATTTATTATAACGTACGCAATGGCAGTGGCACTCAGTGAGAAAGTCAAGGGCGCATGCATATATATGATAGATCTAGTATATAATCCGGTTAGATACAGCCAAGACCAGTAAATGAAATATAAAATATCAAAGCCCTTTAACAACAATAGATAATGAAAAACATATCTATGCATTCTGGGTGTTCTTGTACTTATTCTGTCTGTGTTACGCGTATATAAGACTTATAGACTATAAGATTTATAGACTTTTACTTTTAAATAAAATTCTTTCATGTTAAACTTTGAATGTATGACCCAGGCTATTTTAATTACTGGTAACATTAGTTTCAAATTAATCCAACTAGGTTGAGTTGCAAAAATTTGAAACCAATGTTATCTTAACTTTATCTTCTAGTTAAGTAAATTAAATTTATAAAAACTATTTTATAGATGCTCACATATAAACTATTTCACACATTATTAACTCCTTTGTTATTATATTTACAAACTTCTTAACCTTCAGATGGTAACACTAGTTTTTGAAACATCAAAAGGAAGAGGCGTGATGAATCACCGCGCTTCCTTTATAGGTAACTAATAGCTCTATTATATTTCTTTTATCTATTACATTAATTACTACGTAGCCGAGGAAAAACTCAGTTTTTGGCTAACTTAATTTTATAATTCAAACAAATTATTTTTGAAAGACGTGGTTTCAATTTTTTATTTCATTTTCGTAGGCAAATAAAAAAGTTTCTTGTTTTATTTAGCAAGAAGCCTTGGCTTTGTACTTTTTTTGCAAACTTTACACATCTCACACACGGCAGTCTGAAGGCGAATTCTTGTAATGGGAGTTCGGTCAAAATTCAGACGTACCTAATGTGATTATATCGTATTATGGCCGAAAATTAAATCGATAATCTGCTAGTCTTAGGAATACTTTACTCTTGCTGTACCAAGGGTAAATAACAAAGCACATTAAGATATTATTAATGCGAGTGATACGACAACGACAATAGCCAGTTCGCAATAGCAATATAGCAAGCAAGTAGATTTCTTGCTCTATTATCATAAGTTAAGTTAAGTTTAGTGAATAAGTAGGTTAAGTTTAGTGAATATTTTTTCGAGTCAAATCACCATTAAGAACTAGTAAGTTTAAAACAATAAATCTAGCTGAGGTATATTAAGTTAGTTTCTCCTTTGTGTGATAACACAGAACTATTTACTGCTAAGTATACGATGTCATGTACAGATTATGCTCACGAGATTTTAAGATGAAATTTCTCTGCTTATTCTTGCTTATAATTCAGGACAAAATTGGTTGTTTTATTAAATACCTGTAGAAACTGGAAGTTCTTGAGATCATGATCGATCTTATCTTGTTAATTTTATTTTTCAATAACCATTATCGTGGATATTGATGAGGTATCGTTCGGCATGTGAGAATTAAGTTAAACTGATATTTACGAGAATGAACAGGACACAGTAAGATAATATTATTACGATCATAAATTTATACGGTACGCCTACTTAATGCCATTTTGTAAAAAAGTTTGAGGAAGTATTCGAGACCCGTTTCGCCCTCAGCTGAAACAAATTAGTGCGCCTGTTTCGATCCAGTTTCTATAAATATCACACTGACATTTATCACATCGTATGTTGTTAATAGGCATGTATATTTTCTTTGAACTTGCGAAGGGCGTTGTTGCTAAGCGAACGCTGCTAGACGGTGCTGGGGTTTCATTAACATGTTGCCTACAGTAACACAATGCCGTACGTAGAGACTTTTTTTTATATATGTTTCTAATTGATAAATATACTAAGCACTTGGTACATTCATGTAAGGACATATACACTTATGAACACTCTTTATATAAATAAAAGTCAAAAGTATTTCTTTTTATTTCGTGTGGAAATCTCCCGGCTCATCACTTCACCGGTGCTCACGATGAATCGATTAAAGCACACGGTGTCTCGTCATCTCTCAGTCTATTGCAAGGAACTTGGCACATTGCAAGGGGGGTACCCTTGGAAGGAAGTCCCCGAGTAAATGTCATCATCATTATCATCAACAGCCTTTACTAGTCCATTGCTGGACATAGGCCTCTCCTTAGAAAGGAGGTTTTGGCCTACTATGCTACGCTGGCCAGACAGATAGGGTTTGTTTAAAGTTTTTCTTGTCTTTGCAGTGTAAGTCTCCGAGTAAATTTTCCAAAGTATACATTTATACTTACATCACATTTTTTTTCTTTTCTTTTTTTTTAAATAAAGACAACTGCCGCATTAGGAATATATCCTGTGTCGCGGGGGACTTTACAAACATACATAAAACGGACACAAAGAACACCCAGACTCAGAACAACAATTTGTGGATCACACAAAGTGTCGTCCTATGTGGGGATCGGACCCACAACACTCGGCGTAGTAGTAAGCGGCGTGGCGACCGCTTAAACCACAACGCCAATTTTTCTAAAAATGAAACCTAAATAGATCAATTAATCGCCCCCGAAACTCCAAACTAAATTTCATGAAAATCGTTGGAGCCGTTTCTGAGATTCAGATTATATATATATGTGTATATGTATATATTTACAGATAAAGAATTGCTGAAAATAACTTACGTCACAGATTGCTTTTAAAAAATTAAAAAGAACATACCTGTATAATTGCTCAGTGATCGTGAATGTACAAATAAACGTTATAAGTCAACCTTGCGACAGTGACATGCAATTAAAAAGATAATAAAATATATGTTTGTATTTGTGTGTGTTCAATTCTGTATATATTCTTGGGTTTTTCAATAAAGGATAGTATTAACCTAGTTAGTTAGTTCGGTGAAGAATATATTGCTAACTACGGTCACTTATTTACATTTTACCTTCTAATATCGCTCTCCGTAAGCCTGGTTTGATCCTGAATAGCCCTTGAAACAGTTACACATATATTTACAATTCTTTCAACAGATTAAAGTTTTTCTGAGTGCATTTGGTTAAAATTTGTTTAACCAACTCCGTTCAATCCGAGCGTGATATAACAAGGATTAGGATATATTCGTACTATAAATTGATCAATGTGGGCGAAAGTGGAACAGTTTAATACCATTATGATGTAAACATCGTTATGCAATGCGATAACTAAATAGTGCTATAGTTTCATAATGTCCTATTATCAAAAATATTGCGAATATTGCGTCCTTGTCCACCACTGAATCTACTATTTCTAAAGCAGTAAATTGGCTCTTTAAAAAACGCGCATTGATTATTCGTAGAGCAATGCTAAGTGCTACTGAACAATCGTTTACTCAGCTAATTATCCAAGTACATATAAACAATTTAATCATGTTGTTTACATAAAAAAACTACAGTTTCTTCAGTATTATGATGGCGTTAGTTATCAGTGTTAAGTGTAGTACCTATTAACAGGAAACTATGACTAAACAACCAAACAAAATATTTTGGACAATAAGCATTAACTACGGTATATAACATTATTGTAATTGTAAGTATATCATAAGATATTAAGGCCAAATCATGACTAGTCCATTTTGTGATGCTGAAGGCTAGCGATAAAGTTAGGTATCAAGCAACATCATAAAGTCATAATTCGTATGTAAGACATGAAACAAAAATTATATCATACCAGAAAAAAAATCCATATTGAATTGTAACTCATTTCGTAGCAGGACAACGCCGCACCTAAGTATCACTCTAGTCAGTATTACTGTATCGATAATGACATGTCCACTTTGAAGGGAATTAGTAATAGAAACATCTTATTGACAATAAAGTTAAAGGAATAATTTTGAACACATCGGAAACTGCGGTAGTATTGGGCGGCTCTGGACTCTGTGTGAACTAAGCGAGTTCCTCAAATTCGCTACTTGGCACGAAAAAGCGATTCGCTTCTACTACACGAGTGCCCTGCGCGCGCGCTGCGATATACTACTCCACTCGACAGTACTTGTGACCTTAACAATTAAGAATTTATTTTATTAATGCACTTTCTTATGACGTGCTAGGTTAGGCTGATCGGAGTAGAATATGTACATACCTGATTTAATGATGAGACAAAGAAAATATTAGCGTTTAAACTATACATAATCTTCCCTTGTGCGTTGGTTCCTTAGGTGCGTGTTCCTTGCGTGGCATTTACAAATAAGGGTTCACGCGTTTCGTACCCGCTCTGGATATTTCATGATAAAAGAGGCGGGTTAAGGGTTAAGACTTTCGTGCAAAAGAGGGATGAAGATGACTTTGTTAATAAAATCATTGTATTTGAAAATAAATTTTAGTGAAATAATTATACAAAGCAAATTGGGATCACCTCTTCCAACTTTCTTTGACATAAAGTGTGAAGAGAAATTTAATAACAAATTTCAAACTTTTTCTATGCAAGATAAAAATTAATGTCCGTAGTATGGATCGTGTGATTGCTGAGGGGTGTATTGTTGCTCGGCGTACTCCGGACTGTACTGCGGTTGTGGACTGTATTGCGGCTGTGGACTGTACTGCTGCTGTTGACTGTACTGCGGCTGCGAACTGTATTGTGGCAGTGGAGTGTACTGCGGCTGCGGACTATATTGAGGGTATGATGCTGCGTGTGAGTAAGACGGTGTCTGAAACATAATATTGAACATGTATTTATAGATTAATATCACATAAATAACAACTCTCATGCAGCTTTTTACTATCTGTCCAAAATATATGCCTCTCTTGTTTGTGTCGAATAAGCACAAATCGCCTCCAATTATAATCTATCATGAAGATAATTTTAATTTAGTGCGTGGGTGGCTTGATTACAATGAAGTAACAAAGAATTTGTGATTTTGAATTGAATTGTTTAAAACATAAGGCACTCATAAGGCAATACATTGATCTATGTAAATTTAAATCGATTTATGGGATATATATTCAGGTTTTTATTACACGAATAAAATTTATACATATGGCAGTATAAGTAAAATGAAAGGAGCTTAAAACAGGGCAGACAATAATGAGAAATGGATATTGTATATATACTCTATGTCGGACTATAACTGACTAAAATCGCACGATGTTCAGTCACGGGGTCCTATTGCCAGGTCCCAAACGTAATCTAATGGCTGATATTTTTCTTAGTTCAGACATTTTAAGGACCGATAACCCCTAAGCATTAAAAAAAGTTTTTAAATCGTGCAAAACACGCCACGTCATCGAGTCGGGTTTTGCTTTCACTAGTTGGTGAAAGAAATATTAGGTAAAGGTAAAATACTACTTGAAAAAATGATATTTGGGTTATATTTTTACGCGTAATTACATATTAGTTAGAGAGGTTAGATACTTAGTACCTACTGTTGTAGAACTTTCTTTTACACATTTACGAATATAAAGTACCAGTCGAATATCTAGAGGACATACTGTATTTTATGTTTTTTTTTGTTAAAATATGTGTGAATTTACATAATTTAATATTACCTAACTATACTAGTCAAAAGTGGCTTAATTTAAACGAAAAGTATTAAACTACATTTACGTTTACGATTCTTTACAGTACTTTAACAAAGGAGTTCCTTATGGCCAGTCTTAATTTCTTTGTTAAAATGTAATTAAAAAATAAAAATAAAAATTTCTTCTTTTTATGTTGTATACTTTTGTTACTATTTTAAGTTGTTTTATTACTTTATTCTATATGAGTAATTATAAAGATGAGTTTATAAATATGTTGTACGTGTAGTTTATTTCATGATTTGATTATCAAGAGCGCGCGCATATGTTTGGTTAGCGTCAGCGGCGCGTCACTTGTATTATTTAATTGCTTACTTATTACTGATTTTATGGTATGCAGTCAGCACTAATCAGTTATATTGTGGTTGCATCAATATGTGAATTGAACTCACGAACTGTGGTTCAATGTCGATGTGCAGAATCAAAGAACGTGCAGTCTAAAGCGCCTTTAAGCTTTGGTTAATATTATGGTTATCTTATACGACAGAATAGTAAACGTCAGATTTAATTCATAAAATTAAGAATTAATAAAGGTCACAGAATTTTTTACTGGAAAGTTGGTCCAGCAATTAAGGATTCAGAGACAAATAGACGATGAGCACGATTATGTGTTCTGTGTCAGGGTTTAATTTATTTCTAACATGAATATATTTTGATCCGTGATGTGGTTGCCATAGTACGGGATATGCCGATATGAGATATGTGTTAAGCTATTAATTTCTCCTTTCAGAGAAGAGGCATATGTCCAGAAGTGGACTATTAAAGGCTATTGATTATTCAACATAATTAGAAAATGTTTTCATGGCCTCTGCCACTGTTTACCTAAAAGTAAACCTATAACAGTTCAAGATTCTTATCAACATGGAGTAAAGATAAGGTTGACAAAGATGCGAAATATTTCTGGAAATATAAATTATGATTTATGAAATATAAATAACATAAAGGGAACATAAATGCGGAATGGTTACCTTGCTATTTATTTTCACTCTTTGTATAGAACACAACATTTAACTTCAGATTCGATGGCATGGCCGCTGAAGCCTTAACGAGCTCGATCGTCACACTTTTTATGGTATGGGGGGCCCACGAGCAGACGGATAATAATAAGTGTTCACCGCCACCCATGGACAAGAGTCACAAGTGCGTAGTTACTTCACAAGAGCACAAGATACCATCGTATATTGTAAAGGATTGTTGGGTGTTTTAAATACTGGTCAGACACGTGCAGCACATGTGCAAAAGCGGTCCACTCTGGATATTCAAAGTAAGCCGGTGGTCACTTGGTCGTGGTGGCATTTTCATCTTTTTTTTATAAACATGCCGTCAAAAACTTTGAAATACAGATAGTTCTAGTGTTATTACAAAGAATTCAAACACACGTGCGTAATCAATGATTAAAAGTACAACCAAATACTTAATACATACTTGATAATTGTAACTGGGTTTTTTCTTTTCAATTTCAATATGATGATGTTTCTTTAGTGCAATGCTGTTAGCCACTAGTTCCTTCACTTTTAGTTTTGTTGTCAGGAGACTTGCACACAATGCCTTGTTAAAGGCTTTCAGTTCCTTGAGTTTCGCTTTGATGGCCCATAGACCGTCTTTGAGCAAGTCCAGCTTGCCCGCGGGTAGATCATCATTTTCCTGATACTCGTCATGATCATAAGCGGGAGTTTCATACGCAGCTCGGAATAAGTGTTGATCTTCCTCATCCAGGTCAGCGAAACGTGGCAAATGTCGGGATAGAACTATTTGACAGAAATAGTGAATGTATACCAAAACTATACGAAATAAAAACAATACCTGCTAATAAAATTTGGATGCGGTAATATAATTGTTTACTACAATGTAATTTTTACCGTCACAGGGCTGCATCATGGAATATTTGTGTTAAATGATCATATCGATTTTTAAGTCGCATTATTCTTTTAAATCAAAACAAATGTGATTCAACCAACTTCATTAACTAATTACTTACCAGAACCTGCAAACAGGAAGATATAAATTATTTTAAAACACATTTTGCTTGTGTATTGCCGGTTTAAAGTTTGGACTCTTACTTATTAATATTGGTCGACAATGCGTTTCTAATTCACTACCCGTTTTTAATACATATGTACTCTTACCCTATTTTCATATCATTGTGATGACAAAAATATAAAATATTATAGACTCTAAAAGAATCGTTTTTTTCTTGTAGGTACATCAATATTTTTAAAAATAAATTTACCCACATATGATAACAATGATTTAAATAAGAATCTTAGAATAATTACTTATAGAAGGATCATCAGCCTGACTTATTATTACCCCCAAATAATCCTCAATAACCTCTGTACCAAATTGCGTAAAAAAATATTTAAAAAACATATTCTAGAAGATTGAATTCTCGTTTTTGCCACCTTTGTAGTTATAATATGTAAATATAAAATATATTCACTTTTGCCTTAAAACGAAATTATGAAATTAAAAAATAAAAACCTATAATTCATTCAGTTCTAAGATGAAACTTTTAGGAATGGATGCAGCGGCAGTGGAAAGTGCTTTGGCCCATTGTCTTTTTCTCTGAACTATAACTTTGATGAGAATGTACTTATGTATTGATTGAAGTCTCCTAATATCAATATCTATGTTTAGTGTCAGCTAAATTTCAAATGTTTAGAATAATAATAATATTTCCTTGCTGATCTAGGGTACATATAGTGTATATTAGACTTGCAACGAATATTCGGTTACTATTCGGTATTCGGCCTATTCGGCTGCTTTTATTATATTCGGCCGAATACCGAATATCTACATATTATTCGGCCGAATACCGAATACTTAAATAATATATTTTGTCATTGAGAAATAATTGGTAAAATGAAAAATTAAAATCGATTGATTACGTATATATTCATATTTTCATTTCTGTTATAATCATTTAAGTAGTCATTGGTGCGTAACATAGGTACATAATCATCTTCTGAATAGGAAAAATGGAGGATTCTATGTTTTTGAATTATTGTGGTAATCAAAATTTAGAAGGGTAAGGTTCTCATTTCTTTTATAATCATTTATTAAGTAGTCATTGGTACATTAAACAGGTACATAATTTAATTCACGTCTGTACAAGTTTTTGGCGCTAAAATCCAGCCGAATACTTTTGCCTAATATTCGGCTATTCGGTCAGGGGCCTCGCCGAATATTCGGTATTCGGTATACTGCCGAATATACTATTCGTTGCAAGTCTAGTGTATATATATAGTTGTGTTAACATTACATTTGATATCGTTCTCCTTAATCTACCTTTACTGGCATGCAATTTGTATAATAAGTTTTTAAATAGGTACATTCATCAACGTAAAATTGGTATAAATTTACATTCATTTCTAAAATATTTTGGGTCAAATTAAAATAGATACCTCTAATGCATTCTAATAATAAAAAGTGACAGTACAATTTTATAATACAAACAAAACAATCAGACAATAAAGTATTTTAGACTATAAGTAAAATAAATTAAATTCATTTTATCAGGGCATGTCAATACAGAAATAAATAGTCAATATGTCCATCATGTGTAAAAATAATAAATAATAGAATTATAATCATGTACAAACTAATAAGAAAAAAATATCAATCATGTATAAAATAATAATAAAATGTCAAGAATATATATGTCCAGAAGATAAAATAGATTTTTGAAGATAAAATTTATATTGTCGTCAATGGTTGGTCTAAAAAATTTGGTAGTCGTAACCTGACCAGTTCCAGTAGTATTATAGTTAATTTCCAAATCTTTAAATGTTGGTATTCTTTGAGTAAATTGCATTAGTTTAGTTTTATTTATATTTATCTTAATTTTTCTATTTAATTTTACTATTAAATTTGATAAAATAAAATATCACAAGAAGACTACTACTAACTTTTTTTTTCTTTTTCAAGGTAGGTAGATATACTTTGCTATTTACGGTTTGGGTAGATGTGTATCTGTGTTGTGTGCTCTGCTACTATACCTTCCTGTCAAGCAAGACTTATATCGAATTGATCATTTTATTCGTCGAACAGACATTTTATCTAAATTAATTCTTGTTAAAATGATTAATCACTGATCTGTCTGCGTATCTTACATCAGAGAATTGGGACTTTTTCTTTAAGACATCATGACACAACTGATACGCCATGTGGTCACTAAACGAAAAAACTATTTAACAAAATAGTTATTGTACCGTACATTGACATGGAATCTAGTCGGTAGATACCTGTATTTAAGATTATAATATATTTAATTAAAGCTGTTTAATCCACCCATTCTTAGGCCGTTTCAAAATTGAGTAAGTAAGGTTAGACTTGGCATATAAGAAAAAAATACGAAAATAAAAGAAAGACATGTACGCATGCGTATAAACAGTACCTATGAAAAAAAAAACACTGAGTTTCTAATGTTTTATGTTAGTATTGCCCGTTTTGAAATTTTCAATAACTTTTATTTGTACCCATACTTAGTCTTCGTGTTTGGCCTTATATTGGTTGATAGATATTTTGTGATCTTAAAATTAAAAGTTTGTAACTGCTTAAGAACATAAATATCGGCACTGATAAACAATTCGTACGAAGTTCAAGTTTCGACTATGACTATTTCATGTCCTATGTACCAAAAACCTGTTTTAGTTAGGCCGGTTACCGTAACAAAGTAGGTATATTTGTCATTATTAATTATGGTGCTTTCCAAGGACTTGTTGAGAACATTTGTACTAAACGTGCCAGTTAATGAAACTATTTTGTCTGCTTTAATTATTGCAACTTGATCTGGTTTAAAATTGAGATGACCACTGTTTGAGACAATTTTTGTGTTTAGCTGTGAATGTTCCATAGCTGAGAAGTTTCTCTTGATTATGATGAAAAATGAATACGCCAACTCGATTTCGAATTTAATTTATGACTGTCATTTTGCAAATGCTTTTTATGGCAGCTTTTCTTTAAAATAAAAAAAAACTATATTTGTATTCATTCGCCAGGATTTTGTTGGATGTATTGACATGCTCATAAATGTATATAATAATATTTGGACATAACAGGTGGACTGCCTCCCACGTAGAATGTTACATCCACAGCCTTTATGGGCTACTTCGTGGCAACGATGATTACGTTACGGTAGCGTGTCTTATAATTTTAGAAATTAATTTAATTCCTATTAATATTAATGTCCAAAAAGTGATTGATTATTATTAGTTTATAGAATATAATTACTGATCATAATATCATTGAAAACAATTAATCACAGACATTAGGTATCTAGATAAATCACACAAAAGCAAACAAGTACGTACCTACTAATAGACCAAACATGTGGTTATGTTAATTAGATCATTGAAGAAATCGGGTGTGTCGAAAAATTTTAGTAAATAAAGCAATTATTTCAATTATGTAAATATTCATTTATTCGTCGCTGTTGCTGATTTAAATTGGTACATTTGTAATCTAAAAAATGTCACTTCATGACAATTATTTAATAATTAATTACTGTTTCCTGTCCATTGATCAAGCAGGAAGACAAATACTAACCTTTATGTAAATAAATGCAATTAAAAGTGAGATCATTTATCATTGGTCTAACATCTAAAATATTACTAAAACTACGTATCTAGCTACTAAAATACACTGACAATAACATAAAAAAACAACTAAGTATAACACATTTGTAAATAATTAATTTGAATAAATTATTTTAGAATTATTTTGAAGAAGTTAGTTTCTTTTTATTTACAGTATTACAATACGTACATATGCGTTTTTAAAATGAGTTCAGTTTTTAAAAGAAGTTTAGTAATGGAGTGGTAGTATTATTTAATTTTAAAATTTTACATAGGATTCAGAAGCAGAACTTGGTTTAGATGGTCAATTTATTGAGTTAAAATCTAATAAAAGATTTAATTTATTAGATTTGGTGTTTTTATTCGATTCTCAGGTCGGACCAAATGTTTTTATGATATGATGATGAGTTTGGATGTTTTCTATGTATAATATGTATGTATTTACAAAAAAGTAAATAGGTATTCTATAAGTCAATCTAGCTTTCATAGTACAAGCTCTGCTTAGTTTGAAACTGGATGGCGTTGTATGTCAGATGTCCGAAAATATTACTACTGATATTAATATTCAAATGGTCAGTGTTTTAGCGCATACATCAATAACTTATTAGACTGATTACACAAACCAATATCTTTCTATTTATTGCAGTGTAAATAAATATATTTATTTGAAAAACATACAGATTATTTGTTATACCTACATCACAAATGGCTGTAATTGTAGGTTAAAAGGTTTGTAGATTGGACTGTAAATTCCTCTATATCGTAAACACCTGAATAATGTTGGCTGAATAAAATTTGTATCTCCAAACTACATGTTAGAACTTATGTTAAGACAAAGACAGTTATTTTATCTCATCTAATAATACGTGTTATCTAAATTACCGTTTTTTGGTCACAATGCAATCAAAATATTAGAATAACATATAAGGCTATCTAAATGCTTTAAAAGATACAGGTTCTAGAACCTGGCGCTACGTGTTACGCATCTCAGAATTAGAGCGTCATCTCTCCCATTAGGAGGGCACACCCATTATAGTGTGATCGTCTTTCACTAAGATTGCCTTTTAAACCTGGAAACTGTGTTTTGTTCTTTATTTTAAAAGTTTGTTGTTCTCAATAACTACGTACGTAACGACTTAAAACATCGTTTATCCAAGCTTCATAATTTTCTACTTTCCAAAAGATTATATTATTATGAAGTAAGCTTACAAATCACAACGCATAACAAATTTAACATTCATAATTTTTAAAAGACAAAAATAATGGAAGACATCTAAATCATATGTCCGTGAAGTCTAAGTAAGTACCTACATTAATAATGTGCTTTGAGTATATGTGACGTACAACATTACTATAACATTCTTAAATAATGAATAACTTCCTACTTATAATTATATGGTAGCTAACTTAATGTGTAACATTTTAAAATTGTAATTATAAGTTGGTTGGCTCGCCCTGTTGCTGTAATCTTTTTGGCAATCGATGTATATTCATTTACCTGCTGCCTACAAAGATAGTTTAATTATATTTTATATTATATGCTTTCCATTTTAATTAAAATTTGTTGTTAATAACTTCACATTGTTTATATGGTCCGTTTGTTCAATATTTTAAATCATGATGTGGATCGATGTGGTCGATAAAGCATTTTGTAGTATTAAAGTGCTTCTGTTCAAAAGCGAGCGCGGCGCCTCGAGTGTCACAAAGCCGCTCGAGTTTTGTACAACTCATCGTCGAGGTCAAAGGCAGGGTCCGCATATCCTGAGTCATCGTAGCGTAGTGATCTGCCAACAATAAACCATGTCATCCAATTTAGATATAATATATGCGATATTGTTATTATATAACCGTTTCATAACACATGTGTACGTAACACCAACTTATAGCTTTACTTAAAAAAAATCCAAACCTCGCGCTGGCCCTCATAGCGTAGAGGTGCGTCCCCTGGGTGGCGGATGAGGGAACGGTCGGTAGTGCAGCCTAGCCACACTTTTCGGCTAAATCAGTTTTTATAGAGCGGGAGCGTTGTATCAGCTAAATAAAGAGCTATAAAGATATAACATCCAAATCGCAGCCCTACAGAAAGTCAGATAGCCTGGACAAGGAGAATGTATCGTAGAAGATAGATCACTACTTCTATGGCACTCTATTCCTGATAAACAAGAAAGCGGTTGGCAGCGTTCTCAAATTCCGATATCGGCAAGAATATGTATGTTGAGGATTAAAATTAAATTCCACAACATCTCAATATTAAACGCCTACGCCCGACAGATATCACCTCGGATGACACTAAACACCGCTTCAATGAGGACTTGGAGGTGGCATTTAATTAAATCAAATAAATTTGCAGAGCTAGAAGACCTTGGTGATATAAACATCTTTGGGAAAAAACCAAACAAATAGTTAAAGACGTGGGAATCCGATTATTGGATAAGACCAAGCGACAAAGGAGAAGAAAGTGGTGGACCAAGGAATGACTAAAGGCAATGAACGGAAAGATGGAATGCAAATTACAAGCCAAAATAACATTCAATGGAATCACAGTAAGAGGCAAAGCATGCACAGAATTAAAAAAAAATAGTAAGAGCGTCAAAAATAAATTATACAGAAGGTATTATCTCAAAAATAGAAACGCTAATGAGAGCTAATAAATCGAACAAGTTTTATCAAGCAATAAGAATAGCTAAGAAGGCGTACCAACCTTTCTCTCAACTGCTGGAAGATGAAAATGGCAGTGTTGTATCACACCCGGAAAAACAAAAAGGGATATGGTGCCGTTACTTTCAACAACTTCTTAACTGCCCATCAGTAGGCAACCAAACTGACATAAACCTAAGAACCAACCAAGATAATGACTTGTTTCATGTCACCAATGTTTGTAGGCATAAGGCAATGAATAGACTTAAGAACCACAAGTCTCCTGGAATAGATAACATACCAGGCGAACTTTGGAAATATGGAGGAGGAGCACTGCAATCCCACCTGTACAAAATTGTTTGTAGGATCAGAGGAAGAAAAACCTATGGAATGTTATGTGGGTATCAACTGCCAAATACACAAGAAGGGATGAAGAAACTACTTGGGCTTGGGTTGGGCACATGGCATGAATGGGATAGGATCGAGCCGTCAAAAAAGCATATCTCGGAAAAACTATCGGGCGGCGACCGGTAGGACAATCCAGATACCGATGGAAAGATGAGGTTGCCAAAAATATAAAAGAGATCAAAGTGCCCGATTGGGCTTAAAACTGGCACAGAATAGAAAAGAATGGCTCATTTCAATGTCTGAGCTCGACACATTTTGGGTCGCGAAGCATGGAAAATTAAACTTTCGAGAAAACGATAGATATTTCTTTTGCGAATCGTGCGTCAGTCAGGACATATTTAGTTAAATAGACAAGTGATGAAAAAAATTATTGATTGATTGTTGTGCTTGTAGCAGTACAACAGCGATTATAGCAGTTAACATCTGATAAGTATGGAATAAAACTATTTTATGTCATTATTTTTTTGTCCGTACCTACGTATTAGGAAATAAGTTTCAAATTAAAATAGCAATTATGTTTTAATTCCTGTTAAAATGTATGTGTAATTTTTTTGGTAATATAAATGAAGGAATGTTTTGATAAGCACGAAATTACTTTGTATTCGTATCAAAATTCAAAAACAAATCAAACAACTACTTGTTTGATTTGCATTTGCGCCAGGGCAATGATCTTCCATTTTAACTAAAATATTGGGAAATGATTAAATTGGCAAAATAAAAACAAAGGTTATGTTCCTATGGTCAGTATACACCCAAAACCAATATCCACACACATCTACCAACGATGGCTTATCCTTCACTGTTAACTCATTAGAGCAGCAATAATTTTTTTAGTACGAGTATATCTATATAAATACAAGTGATGTAACTCTTACGGGTGTAGAGTTAAGAAGTTAAAAAGCACTTGATTATGAGATAATAATTGAATATAATAACTTCAGTTTACCTGTCAGGTGTACGTGTCCTGCATCGAGATGGGGGAGGCGAGCGGGAGGAGGCTCTTAAGAGCGTGGGGTCATCGTACCGGCGTGATACAACCGTGAAATCATGATGCGCATCTATTAGCTTTTGGAGCCGGGATACCATTTCGAAATCCGACACTGAAGCTGGTACCAAAATTCCAAGTAACTTTGCTATTGAGTTCCTGAAATATATAAAAGGAAAGCGCTAAGTAATGGCTAAAGCATCATACAAGTAGTTCAGAGATGTCAGGTTTGAACTCTTTTGAGAACAGAGCCAAGAAGTTCTGAAGTATCCTTGTTTCAGTTAGACGAGGTCCTATGCCTAAGCTGACGAAAAATAATTTGAAGGGAGGCTAATTACAAAAAACTAATACAGAGTACGAACACTCAACTTGGGACTTGAGTAAATATAATAGTTTAAGCTCAGGGCGATTTAAAAGTGTATAAAGGTATGGGTGATCCGTGTGGTGTAGTGATGTGCCGGATCGTTAACAAAGTATATCCGCGGACACGGATCCGAATACGGATTTTTGGTGTCAAGATCCGCGGATACGGATACGGATCTTAAGTTTCTTACTCAATCGAGGCCCGTGACCTTGATAGTTGTCGCCTTTGCCGTTGATATTTAAATATTTCATTATTTTAATAAGCTAATACAAAGATGTTTGATTGATCTCATTATAAAGATAGCTCTTTCAGTACCTACGACCTGCCTAGTTGATTTAGTATAGTACGATAAATGATTGCAATACAAAGGTGCCAAATATTTGTTTTAAGAAATAAAAAGTAATCTGAACAGAATTCAAGAGTTTTTCATAGCTACCTAATAACCATTATTCAGGGTTATTTTAAATTTACTGAAAACCTCTGAAGTGCATATTAGTAACATTATAAACAACAACTTTTCTTCTGGACTAACACCGAAAACGAAAGAAAGAAAATTGTTTCTCCATACAAACCAACAACATTTGATTGGTCATTTAAATGGAAGACCAATTTTTTTTCATTTTGACCTTGGCCAGAAAAAAAGTTGCTGTTTATAGTGTTACAAACACATACCTAAGAGTTTAACAGTGAATACAAAATCACCTATATAGAATTTTTGTCTATGTAATATGTATTGAAAGATCCGCCAAAAAAAGTCACGGATACGGATACGGTTACGGATCTCTCTTCTCCCTTGGATATCCGCGGATACGGATACGGATACGGATATCCGACACATCACTAGTGTGGTGACGGATTAAGAATACAAATTGTCACCACCCCAATTCATCCCGTGGGTGTCGTAAGAGCCGACTAAGGGAGCAGAGTAAGCAGGACAACAGCACTGCAAAGAGAAGGAAAATTTGAAACAAACCCTATATCAACCCGTCTGGCCAGCGTGGTATAGTAGGCCAAAACCTCCTTTCTAGGCCTATGTCCAGCAGTGGACTAGCATAGGCTGTTGGTGAAAGGTATACAATAATCAATAACAAGGCAAGGTTACCTGAAACTAGTAAGTTGTGCTTCCCTGCGCTGACACTCAGCGAGTGACTCTTTTGCCCGGGCTAAGTCATCACGAAGAATAGCAAGTTGATGGTCAGTAGCGGTGCGCTCGTGTTCAAACGTCTCGCCTGTAGCCCGCACCGTCTCCTTCAGCACGTTCATTTTGCGGTTGTATCGCGTCCGTAATAGTTCCGCCTCTTCCAGTTTCTTCTGAAGTTCTTCCACCTTACGAGCGCGTTCTAGCGATGTTATCTGTTTAGTTTGAAATTGAATGATATTTAAGGGCCATGATCATATCAATTCCAAATACAAATACATCATTTGTGCATTGAACAGATAAAGCCAAATGCACAATATATACTTACAATATAAATCCAATTCTAATTAAAGAAAGCAATCAATCTTAGGGTAGGATCCTATCTAGTGCATCTTTATATATCTATATGCATCTTTTCTAATGTATTTAAAAAGAAAAAGCGTCATGGCTAAAACAAGTTATACAAGCAGTCCAGAATGACAGGTTCGAATTCTTGCGAGGACACAACCAACGTTAATTTTTTTTTTTTAATATTTCCAGCCTGTGATAAAGCGTGATGATGTAAATAAATGAATATACATTATAGTAAAGTTCAACTAAAATAAATTAGATCATGGTTCTATTCAGCAAATAACTTTAACCTTGTATGCAAATCAGGTATTCCAGTAATTTGTTACAGAATCTGTTTACGGTATGTTTGTTCGAGTATTTGCATTATACAAGGTATTGAAGACTATTTTGATATACTTTGCAATTATTTGTTAAAAAGATGATGCATGTACTCTTGTATGTATAATGTAAATTGTATGTATGTTTAAAAATAAAAAATAATTTAAATTAATATTAAAGTGAGTCAAGTCCATACCTGCACTCTACAAAAATATACCCATAGACATCATTGAATTACTAGTTACTGGATCGTTAATAAAATAGAAAGGTATGAGAGAGTAAATGGTACCTTGTACTCGGCAGCATCCGCTAGCTGTGCGTTGAGCTCGCGTAGTTGTGCACGCGCATCACTAAGTTGTACCTGTAGTTTGTCGCACTGTCGCGCGAGCTTTTTGCTTCGTGATATCGCTTCATCACGCTCGGCCTGCAGCACTGCACGAACGCGGCAACTCTCCTCCTTACATGCATATTTACTGATATCAGTGACACTCATTGATTATGCGTTAAGCTAAAATGTTTAACATTTCCGGATATTTTGTTCTTATATCCAGTGATGAATAAACTAGATTTTTTAGCAAATCAAAGTTTATCGACTAAGTTTTCATCGAAGATTTATGAGGGCTTTAATCATTTAGGTATTCATGGTTTAATTGGTTCAATCACATTTGATTTTGCTCGTATTTTATTCTTAGATAGTAATAAGGTGATAACACTGACCTGTACGGTGAGTTTCCGTCGTAATAAGTCTAGGTGTAAGTCCTTTCTCTGTAGCTGTTCTCTGAGAATTCTTATACGGCGTTGTAATTGATAAACAACAGCGGTCTGAAAAAAATACCTTGTTGAAACATTCTGACTACGTTTACTATTCTGAATTGCCTTGACACTCTAGTATGACACGTTGATGAACAAGGATGTGAGTTGACTCTCTTCAACTTCTTCAAAGAGAATATTTATATACATGGGCTACCAAAGAAACTATTAAAAACTCACATGGTATCTCCAACATCAGGCCTGTTGTTGACAATGAATACGAGCGTCGTAGTCACTGATAGATCTACAATACTTGTTAAAATAGTTTACAGAGTCTAGAGTAAATGGATACCTATTTACTCTAGACTCTAAAATATGGATACTAAAATATGGATAACATCTACATTACTAAAACTTTTGTACGTCTGTTACTTAAATATTTTTAAATGAGCAAATAAACCAAATATATAAGAGAACATAGAATGAGGTAGGCTCTTATGTATGCTGCTATGTGCCGGATATGGGGTCTACCCTTTATAACTTTTTATGTCATAATATTATTTTGCATAACAATGGATAACATAAACGTCATTTCGCAGAAAAACGTTTTGCAAAACACTCATTTAGGATACATTTAAAACGCATAAGTCCTAATCATCTTTACGCATAAACTTCATATCTACGAGTATAATAATTAAAAAGTAGTACCATCATTACGCCGAAAGCTCACAGTCACAATCGTCTTTGAGCATAAATGTTATATCGATAGTCATTAAAAGGCAGAACTATCATATATAGTCGTAGTATCATATATATCTTAGATAGTTTACAGGGAGAATCATCTTTTGGCATACATTTCATATTCTATAATAATTGAAAGACTATCTATCCCTCATTTTTTATTTCTTACCAAAAAATTAAAGCCAGCAAGGATGCAGCATGCAAGCGAGAATGCAGCATTCAGCATATCTGTCACGGCTCTGGTGCTGCGGGGCGAGCTTATCATCACAGATGAATTCAACGGTCACCACCGTAGCTTCGGCTATATGCCTAATTAAATTATTCCAGATGAAATTGTATAAAATAATCGTCACTCTAAATAAACGTTATGCTAAACGAAATTATGCGGAATTTTAACTCTGCCAACGGTAAGTATACGGGATAAAATTATGCCATCTTAAAAGCATGCCATTGTAAATTCGGACATATTAACATTCGGTCACACAATAATTGTACTAAATAATTTGTATGCCTTAAAACTATTCGTTTCATAAACGTGTCTTATGCGAAATAAATTTCGGAGTATCAAGATTCTGCCAGATAGGGGAAATCCCCAGAGATGACGTGATTGTACTACATTCATTTGTTATAAAGTACAGTCACGAGCACAAGTAACAACCACTCATCGGCAATATAACATATCCAAATAACAGTATCAATAATACTCGTATATGTCTGCCAAATATACGTACTGTAATATAGTATGGAACATCGGAAGTTATCTGTTAAAAAAGGGATAGATACTATTGCCAATGTGTTCAAAGTAAGATGTTTATGCTCGTGATTGCATCGCGTGTGCAGTCGACCTAATTTTCAAAGAAAAATGTCCAAGTACCTTGTCCAAATTTTATGTAATAACTTTGGTACATTCCCAAATCTTTTAGACACTAAAATGCCTGGCAAATGGTGTGTTAGGGTAAGTTCATAATTTTCTTTTCAAAACAGGGTAGCTGACTTCAGGGTGCCTTAATTGTATCAAATTTAGTTAATAATGATCTATATTTTTCAAGTCTTAATTTTTCAGCATTAAAATTTATACTAGTCTCAAGTGTTTATGAACCTTTACAAAATATTTTTTACCAAATGCAGCGACATTAACGGTTGAGGATATCTCCTGGTACTTCACCATGATGATGACAAGAATTTTATGCTTAGCAACCTTAATATAGTTATTGATTAGATTCCATCACTAGATCGTCCCAATGGTCCTAATTAAACAGCATAAATGTGTATACCTACATACATTTTTAATTCTAGTCATCCATCTGTGAGTAATCGGGTAACATACGAAAAAAAGATCTTGATTATTATTGAGAACCTGCTTCTCAAGTGGATTTGTAATGATTTTCATCAACGATTTTTTTTTATGTAACTATATCATAACACAGTCTTTTCTCGCATTACTACTTATTTATTTTTGCCAGATCTAAAAATCTGTTGTTTAAATTCAAATTTCGCAGCCTTGCTTTGGTTGTAACATTGCCATTTTTATTACTACTGAATAATGATATGTACTTCCGCATTCGTGTCCTTTTTAATTGTAGTGCTAATAGGTTTTCTAAGACGAAACAGTCTTTCTAAGGCGTAATAATTCATGTGAAATTACAAGTATACAATGTAGTTAATTATATTCACACAATATATGTACATACGGTTAACTACGTTTATGTATACTTAAGTTGTATACCTACTTGTAAGTTTATAATCAAAGGTCCTAAACTAACAAAAAATTTTAGGTTGCAAACGTTCAGGCTTAGTGATAAAATATGTTTAAATATTATGCTACTAATGGATACGTGGATATTATTGTGCAGATGATACACTCAATTGTTTAAGTACCCAACAAAAAGCGTTTATTATGACCTCTTATATCACCTTGTATTATAAATATCAATATTCTGTTTATTACCAATTCGTCTGATTATAATTATTTACCATGATTTTGGTGTTGAACCCAACGACTACACGTATTTTAACGTTTTTTCGTAATTTAACCTTTTTTTTTTAAATACGACAATGCGATGAATTTTATTATGTTTTGATAATAAAAACAGCAGTGCCATAAATTATAAAATAAGTTGCAAAAAAATTGTTTTTAATTGGTTAACCTTCCGCTCTTTAATGTAATCAATTTAACATTTTAATTAATTAAATTGCAATTAAGTAAGATTGTAAATCATACAATGGATAATATTGGCATCTGTAATCGAATAGACATAGACAAAACTATTTGTACGAGCGGTTTCTAAGTTCAATTACACATCGCGAATTAATTCTTCCTCTAAATTTAGTTAGGAATAGCTTACATAAACTGTTTAGCTAGGAATAACTTATATAAATTTATCGTTTTTTTTTTCTTAGATCCTAGAACCTGCAAAAATAATGTGTTAACAACCCTTTTGGGTTTCTATAACTTGACATGAATGGATGGATATCGCATCAACATAAGTTGTATACCTACTTGTAAGTTTATAATCAAAGGTCCTAAACTAACAAAAAATATTAGGTTGCAAACGTTCAGGCTTAATGATATAATATGTTTAAATATTATGCCACTAATGGATACGTGGATATTATTGTGCAGATGATACACTCAATTGTTTAAGTACCTAACAAAAAGCGTTTATTATGACCTCTTATATCACCTTGTATTATAAATATCAATATTCTGTTTATTACCAATTCGTCTGATTATAATTATTTACCATGATTTTGGTGTTGAACCCAACGACTACACGTATTTTAACGTTTTTTCGTAATTTAACCTTTTTTTTTAAATACGACAATGCGATGAATTTTATTATGTTTTGATAATAAAAACAGCAGTGCCATAAATTATAAAATAAGTTGCAAAAAAATTGTTTTTAATTGGTTAACCTTCCGCTCTTTAATGTAATCAATTTAACATTTTAATTAATTAAATTTCAATCAAGTAAGATTGTAAATCATACAATGGATAATATTGGCATCTGTAATCGAATAGACATAGACAAAACTATTTTTACGAGCGGTTTCTAAGTTCAATTACACATCGCGAATTAATTCTTCCTCTAAATTTAGTTAGGAATAGCTTACATAAACTGTTTAGCTAGGAATAACTTATATAAATTTATCGTTTTTTTTTTTCTTAGATCCTAGAACCTGCAAAAATAATGTGTTAACAACCCTTTTGGGTTTCTATAACTTGACATGAATGGATGGATATCGCATCAACAGCCTTTAATGGTCCACTGCTGGACATAGGCCTCTCTACTACTACTTACTACATAATAATAGCAATAATATTTCTCTTACACACACGGAAGTCTGATCTCAAACTACTCGTATGGTACACGGTACTATGGTAAACGGACTGCTGATAAACATACCCAAATAGTTCTAAATAAATACATATTACAGTTTTTTTAAGAACTCCCGCACTAGGAATATATCCTGTGTCGCGGAGGACTTTAGGCATATTCATGAAAAGGACGCAAAGAACACCCAGACTCAGAACAACAATTTGTGGATCACTCAAAGTGTTGTCCCATGCAGGTATCGAACCTACGTCACTCAGCGCAGTAGGAAGCGGCAAGGTGGTCACCTGGCCGCTTCCTACTGCTTAAACCTACTTAAACCTCTACGCCATCCGTGCAGTCAAATTACAATTACACTCAGACACAACAAATGATCATACTCGTCACACAATTATTTGTCTTGGATGGGAATCGAGTCCACGCCCTCTAGCTTAGCTGTCATTGTCACTAACCACTAGACAAACAGGCCAGTAAATTGAGTGGCATTTTAATATAATATGATCCCACTTTAAAATAAAACTGGGTCATCATAAACACTTTTTGCACGTTTACGTTTTGTTTGAGCTGGATTATCATGGTGGATTCCTTTTGTAGTGAGCCTATTACTTTAATCTAAAAAGCGTGACAAGTGAAAATTATCCTAATTAAGCATCAAAAGATATTTCGAAATAACAATATACCCCTATTCGAATACATAATAATGATGTAAAATATTATCATGCAAATTTAAAATGGTGCACGTCTTACTTCCTTAAGATAAGGTAAATCATGGAATGATCGTTCTCTGCGCAGTCTCGGTAGGGTGCCATAGTATCCATAATATAGCAGCTATACAAAACACATATGAAGTTAACACGAACATAATGTAGAAAACATCGAATGCTTTATACAGCAGTCCATAGATATTTCATACCACAGACCTATAGACAGCTACAAAAACGAGCTAATTTGCAGATTATACCCAATATAAAAGTATTTTTATTATTATACTATTAAGTACATTATCTGTAGTAGCCCATCACGTAAAAGTAGTAAAATATTATTTTGATACATGAATAACTAACTGTAACTAAGTAATATTATGTCTTAATCAAAAAACAAGAATTACGTCAAAACATTTTTAGTCAAATCATGTTTTAGTGCGTGTTGTAACAATATTTAGAATTTAAAGGAGAAAGTGATGCCTAATAATTTGTTTACGTCATATCATCATCATCAAAAGCCTTTAATAGTTACTGCTGGAAATAGGCTTCTCCTTAGAAAGGAGGTTTTGGCCTAGTAGACCACGCTGGCCAGACGGGTTAGTATAGTGTTTGTTTCAAGGTTTCCTTCTCTTTGCAGTGCTGTTGTTCTGCAGAGTTTCCTCCCTTAGTCGGCTCTTACGACACCCATAGGATGGATAGGGGTGGTGACACCCTGTTTTCATATTCCGTCTCCACACGGACGGTTAAAACCTTTAAAATGCCTTTATTTTAATTAAAATATTTAAAACAGATTTTTCGCTTGATAAATAGAAGTAAATTCAATTTTCAGAACAACAACAGCACCAAATTTGAATTTGACATTACTACACTGCTAAAAATGTTAAGTACGAGAGCACGGTAATAGGCTTGTATGTATGGCTCGCGTTTCGACCGTTTGTATAAAGATACGAGTAGAATACTAGAATATAGAGGCCCAAGTGCCGAGTGCGAGTTTATTTTACACCAAATCGCTCGTCACGGTGATTCAGCGTTGCGAATGGCCCGCATTGAAATCTCCATCAATCGCAACGCTAAGCGGGCTCGCCGTCGAGAGCGAGTCGGTTGTTCGGTCGGTCTATTGCACACTTTGCTGCTGTAAACGAGAGTGTCGCCGAAAAACCGAAAACGTTAATTCGGCATCGTTCTCAACAACTTCAAATTTCAGAAAGCACCACGCATCGAATTTTGACAAAGGACCTCCACCTTCATGCGTACAAGATTCAACTAACTCAGGAGCTCAAACCAGCAGACCGACTACAAACAATCGACCGAATCAATCGACTTATTGCAGCAACGATTTCCAGAGCACATTATATTACGAAGTTCTGATGTCAACTGGCCACTAAAATCGTGCGTTTTAACGCCGTGCGATGCGTATAACCAGACAAAAAATCCTGAGCTCAAATCAGAAATCCAACGCGTCATCGGTGAGATACAGCCACATCTCTGTGTATAAAATTCATGGAAAGTTTCATGGCCATTGACGGATATTTTATTCCATACTTATTCGGTACATGTCTTCTTTACAATCCAAAAACTTTCATAAAATACGTGTTTTTATTTTAAAATTAAAAAATGCACTTACTGACACACTTTTTAGTTTTGTTCTACGTTTTTAAAGTACAAAACGTCATTTTAATGATTTTTAATCTGATTTAGACATTTTTGTAACAACAAAATTGAAAATATCATTTAAAAAATCTTCACAATGTTGTAAGTATAATAATGGTGATAGAATAACATTGTTTAAATTGTTTAGACACTTCAGACATATAACTATTATCTCATGTTATTAATAGTTGTTATTACAAAACCGGTTAACAAAGTACACTGAATACAGGTAATAAAACAGAGTTATGCAGTTTATTATTATCTTTTTACTATCTTAAAATTCCTTATTTTCCTTTGAACGCGTTTAGTATTTGCAAAGGCCCTGCGATTCACACTGCATGTAGTGCACGTTAATTGCAAAAGGCGCCTTATGATATTGCTGTTTGATCTAAATAAGTATAAAATATCTATGGAACTATCTAAAAATATAATATCTACACACATAATAACTAATAATTTTATTTAGAAAACCGTAAGAGCTTAATAAGCAAGGCATCACACATCAAAATTTAAAATATAAAGCTAGTTTTTATGAAATTCAATTCCATAAAATCTACTCCTTAGTTCAAACCACTTCTAAAATTACTATATTTTTTTAATTTAGGAGGGAAAAGGTCAAGAATTGGCTAATTATATTTTGTGATTTACATATTGAACAAAAACCATTAATAGGAACATCAAAAACTAGGAATAAAACAAAGGTGAAATCATTGTTAGGTCGCGCTTGCACCAACTCCATTGAAATCTAAAATTGTGAATAGTATTGTTTATATTTATTTATCTACTTAAAATGTTATTTGGTTCAAGTGTTAAGACTATCTAATAAAAGCGCTCATAAACAGTAGCGAGCCAGAAAAATAACTTCAAGGTAAATAAAAATGACTATTGAAACAAAACCGAAGATACTAAAATAATCCCAAAATATGCATAAAATAACAAAAGTGGTTAGATTTATTAATGTTTTTTTTAAAGGGCTTTATAAAACATTAATGGAATATATATGTAGGCGTAATTGGAGCAAAAACTGATGTGTTTGGTGTGTTTTTGTTAGACTCTTCAATTCTCTACTTCTAGCAAATATTTCAAAGCTGTCGTTCCGCAAAGTTATAAATTAATTAATAAATATACAATAATAAAATGTATAAAAAACTAGAATAAAAGCTTTACACGGTGCCCTTGTATGCAACAATAAAAAGTAACACGTTTGTAAGTTTTCACTTCGTGAATATAGTTTATTTATAAAGAAATAATATTTGAAAACAGCATTTAATTGTTCAACATAGAAAGCAATGGAGTAGCGCGCAATTATAAAATATTCAAATCGTTGCAACCTAGCAATGGATGTCTTCAATATATTTTATAAAAGTATTAGTAAGCCCTAGCTTTTTATGTATTACATATATTATTATAGACAATTACCACAGCTCCATCAGAGCATTTCTCGCAACCCTACATCCTGTTAATTCTACTGACTGACCTTATCAACAATTTTATCGCTCTCGAGTCTTGCCAATTGCTCTGCCCGATGTATAATAGAATCAGTATGTAATTCTATTCCGATATCTTGGGTTAACTCATCCATATTTAGTGTTCTGCTGAGGCGTTCAAGGAACGCGACAAACTGTAACAAATTATACAATCACGTGGTCATGCTACCTTCGGTTTAGACATGAAAGTATTTATTCAGTGTTGATCTGACAATATATATATATATTTGTTATGTATATGTATAGTATTAGAGAATAATAGGTATCACTAAGTGTTAAAGTTACACCTCAGTTAAAGAGGCATTTGTTGTAAGTACTACGTTTCTATATTTGTATCTACTTTATGATATATTTTTGATCATTTCTTTATTTTTGTTCTTGTTTGTTTCTAATGATACTTAATAATTAGACTTAGTAGAAATAAGTTTTTTTCCTATGTACTTTATATGGAAAAAATAAACGATCTCAACAAGAGAATTTAACGCACTAAAATATATCAAAACTATTACGAACAAAAACCAGTACATCATAAAACAGAAGTAAATAATTTTAATAAAGTATTCACAATGTCTATACACGTTATTGATACAGATAATAATTAAAAACCATGTACAAATAAGCCACATGTATATGAAACTTAAATAAATGAAAACACGCACGTTTGCTTTGTCCTTGCGTAAGTTCTCTCTGGACAGTTCGAGGGCAGCCAACTCTGACTCCAGCTTGTGCACTTTAGTTTCGAGCATGTTCCTCTCATCCTCGAGAATCCGCACTCGCGTTGTGGCTTGGTCGTGTAAGTGTGCAGTCCTGCCCAACTGTTGTGACTCCATGCCCAGCTTGTCACGCAGTGCATCGATTTGCTGTTATCGAGTTACAAAATATAAATGAAGTTAAAAAAAATCGAAATCATATTTTGAAAATCTATCTAGTCTATTATAATGTCCCAAGAAAATAAACTGAAGCATTGAGTAGGTATATTCGACAGTACTCATAAAAAACAACATTTGGATTGAATCAATTGCAATTGCCTAAAATTATAAATACATTAATTTATCATGATTGAAAGCAATAGTTTTCTATATATTTAAACAATTCTGTCCTCTGATCGTAAGCTGACGTTCTTTTTAACTTTTTTTAAAAGAACGTCAGCTGATATAGTATGTATATATAACCAGAAATTAACAAGAAACGGAAATTAATAAATTTCCTAGGAAATTTATAAACCTTCGTATGATTCTAAACGAGATATAAATTGTATTATTTTACGCCCACATTTTCGCAAATTGATAAACCGAACTCTAGTCCGGTGCTTGCTTCAGTTTCAGAGCCGCCTCCTTGGCGAGCTGGTCGGCTCGCTCATTACCCCCCAACCCGGTTAGGTTAGGTTTTCTTCTCTCGTTTAGAATCCTACGAAGGTTTATAAATTTCCTAGGCAATTTATAAATTTGCGGTTCTTGTTATTTTCCGGGGACATATAGATATAATGATGTCAATTTTTTTCATTTTTAGTTCCCTAATTAGTTCTATTCGTTTAGCGTTTAGCAATTTAGAGTTAGGTATGTATGGTTTCAGATGTGCAACGCATAAAGGCAAGAGTGGGTAAAATATATCAGAAACATGCAAATTCATATTTTTCTTAAACTTTTGATGATAATTATTGTGGGATTCGAAGAATATATTTTCTTTTCTTATAATAGATTATAAAACTTGAGAGAATAACAAATGTGTATACATAACAAATTATTTATTTCTTAGGTCATACATAACAAACATAGGTAATATATTTCTGTATAATAAATATAATTAACTAGCTTTTGACAGCGGCTCCGTCCGCGCATATGTCAGTTATCGCGAATTGAGAATCTCTTCTTTGTTTTAAAGTCGATTAAGAAATTTAATAATTTTTAATAGCTTGGGTATACTTGCCACAGATTTATCCTTATTTTCACTTAAAATTTCTCGAATTCTGTCTTTAATAGTACTTTCATGTGCCTCTACAAATCGTGTAGGTAAGCTTAGTAAAATAGCTATGGATTCCATAGTATTCCGGAACTCAGCATGAAGCCGTTGAAATTTCTCGTCACGATGTCTCAGATCCTCTACAAAAAAAGGTAAATATGTTATTTACAAAACAGTATATTAAATGCATAACGAAATGCAATTATATGCAATAACTACTTATTTAGTGTCTTACCTTTCATCTGTATTATTATTGACTCGTTTTGATTAACATTATCAGTAACGACATTCAAGTTTTTAGTACAATGTGTTAGTTTTTCTCTTGCGTCATGTAATTCTCGTTCGATTACTCTGATTTGAACTGTAAGAGATTCTTTTTCTTGCTTAAGTCTCTCAATGTCTAATAGTTGTTGTGTCAGTTGTCTTTGTAGCATCTCTTTGTCAGCATTTGATCTTTCTAGAGCGTCTCTGCAGCTCCTCAATTCTTGTTCGACCGTAGATAAATTTTCCGTCGTACCCATACATTTATTTTTCAATCTTGTGATATCTTGTACTAGTTCAGCTGCTTTTATAATTAAACTTTCTGGGGAGTGAGTATGTTTTGTGTCACAAAAGTCAGCTTCGAGGGCTGCAGACATTCGTCGTATTAAATCGTGGAATTGGCACCTAGCATTTTCCTTTTGCTGTTCTTCATTATGATATTCTAATTCAAGCGATCGTAATTTTTTTTCTAAGTCTTTAATCTTCTCTTCACAGTATCGATTGTCTCTCTGTAATGTCTGGACGGTGATTTCACTTCTTCCATGGGAAGTTTGAAGATTTCGGTGTACTTCTTCAAGATCTTGAATTTTCTTTTTGAGAGATGATATAACAGCATTTTGTCGAGCATTTTGTTCACGAAGATGATCGATTTCGACTTGCTGTTCTAATATTCTTTGGTCTCGAGATAACATTAGATTTTTTAAATCGCTGTTCTGAAATGGATATATAAGGCTGCATATATTTTAAAGTAGATGAATATTTTAATTTAAATAATATTAAATAAAATTGTTGCAAGAAACCAGATATTACTAGGGCTTACTTCAGAAATCAATTTGTCGCGTTTATACTGAAGAGCTGCCAAATCACTTCTTAGACTGGTAATAACGTCGTTACCAATATCTCCTTCCATCTGAAGAGAAAACTGACAAATATTATTTCCAATAAAACATAAAACATGAGTAATCGTGCGAATTACATGGCCTATCTGCCTTAAAAAACCTTACAAAATTCCATAATGAACAAATTTCTTCTATGCTATCGTTGAACAAAGTAGACAGTTACTCGTGGCGAACAATATTAGACTAGTGAGGTTAAAGTAGTTACTTCTTGTCTGAAATGTAGCGTGATACGGCTCATGATTCCCGACTTACCGACCGAAAGTCACGATAGCTGACTTGCCGGCCTATATACGATAGCAGCTTTAAATTTACATGCACAACAGGGGATAGTACATTTCCCCAATGTCATTTTTATGGACACGATAATTGGTTAGATTGTTATATTGTTGCGACGTCATTCACGCAATCCATTGAATTTACATGTATCGGGTAAAGTCGTCCCAAATAAAAAAAATGTTTCTCACAGAGAGTAGTGGTAATGAATCTATATGTCATCTAATGTATCTGATAGAATGTATATTTACTTGGATTATTTGACTGTATTTTTATAATTATTTACAATTAAGCGTGTAGTACCAGTAGAACTCACGGTGGCGTGGGAAACGAACATCCCTAAAGACCACGCTTTAAAAAGAAACAAGTACTTTGAGATAACCTACGAAATAGGTAACTAAAAATAGTTATGTTGTTTCGTTGTATGCCGTGGAAGTGGATGCGAGGAGTATACCAGCTCAATCCCTATATAACCGGCTTAAAGACCTTCGATTGCCAAGGGCTTCAGTAAGCTCTCTTCTTGAACGAATATCCAAAGCGGCTTTACTAGGCTCTTATCAAATATGGTTCCGTAGATTTGGTAACACAGCAGACAGTGGAGGTAAGCGCTGACGTGTCGCAAGGAGTACTCCCTAAACCTATACCTGGGTCGCCATTCCCAGGCGCTGTCGAAGTCGCATGTGTTGCCCCCATCTATCACGAGATGGACCCGGCACCCGCACGGTGAATCCATGGAAAACTAAGAAATATGTCTATTATTCCGTAAACTAAGTCTTGTAAATTGAAGTAAGATTATTACAACAAATTCTATCATGTATACTATTACAGACTAACTTTTAAACTTTCGCGTTCCATGATAATTAATATTATTTAACGGGAATTAACGCGATCTCTTATTTAGGGTATTACATACCTCTGGTTTGCCTGACGTTTCGACCAGGTTGCACCGGCCGTGGACACAGGCTGACTGGTCGAAACGTCAGGCAAACCAGAGGTATGTAATACCCTAAATAAGAGATCGCGTTAATTCCCGTTAAATAATATTAATTACTATTACAGACGTTATGGATTTCCATAAAAGGGTTAATTTTAACTGAAGGAATCAATTTGTTCCCCATGGCTACAGCGTGTCTGTATACCATTAGAAATATTCATCACTAATTAACAGACTTCTGCCTGAATAATGTTATGTTTGCCTCAAGTCTGTAATAGGTATTAGGCCTATAACATACTCAAGGCAACGTACAGTTCATGCCGCATGTCAAAAACCTCCCCCAATTTGAGGGTTTTGTTAGTGAAATAACAGTCTTCATCGCATTAAATGCAAGTGTACACAAACATATCAATAGGTACCTAGAAGAGAAGTCCGTGCGAGGTACGAGACAATGCACGCTACCACCAACCCCCACCTACTCCATTAACGAATATTTTTCCAATTTCCCGTATAAGCAGGCAGATATTTATAGACTTATTGTATTTACCTTTTCAATGTTCAGTATGAAGCACATTGTAAAAAAGGTGTTTTGAGGGTCGTTTGGAATAAACAATAGGTAGCCAGGGATGGCATAGGTATTTAGAGATGCAATAAAGAGAGTGATTGAGGTTATATACAAAATAATTGTATACACATAGAGAATATATAAGAGATAAACCTAATTTTAATTATTATTAATAAATAGTTACGAATATTAATACGTTATGCACATGACATACGGTGCATTGGCGAACTTAATGCCCAAAGCATTCTATACCTTTTTAACAATGTCTACTAAATACAATATCAAAATGCACATAATATAAAAATTATGAAATTCTACACCTATGAACATTATACATTCATCATCAGCCTATCGCAGTCCACTGCTAAACATAGGCCTCTCCCATTGCACGCCACTTAACGCGTATCCCTTGAGTACGATCCGCCGTAGAAATGGTTTAGTCACGTCCGGTATGAACTACCGGCTCCACCTTTGTGATTGGCACTTCAATTAAGAGTTTTGGTTTGATAGGTAATGATATGCAACATTTGATCGATTTTGGGCTTACACATAAGTACACCACCACCATACATACATACCTTGATAAAATTATATTTTTTATTATTATATAACCACGCATAAAGTAATAAAAAAAATAACGTGGGTAAGTTGATTCTGTCAGTTGTCAGATCAAATGCTGCTTTACTTTTACTAAGTGTTGGTGGTCATCCTGTTTGTTGCAAGTATGATTTGTTTGATATTTTGGTAGAGCGAGAAAGAATACCGGTACGAAAAATATAAGAGTAAGGTCATAATAGTGCCTACGTGCTCTACCGGTGTTTAGAATAGACACTAAGATGAGATGTGTCATATAAAAATGACGACAGACATCTTAAAGATAAATTGATATTCGTTACGAAATATTTATATCCGTAATAGGTAAAGATAGCTTGTTCATACATGAAATACTATTTTGTTGCTTTTGAGATCAGAAAAAGGTTATTTCAAGTTGATTCTGATCGTTGTTGCCCAAAATTGGTGCAAAGGTATTCTCAAAGATCAGTTCTAAATTTGAAAGTAAATTATGATTTGGTTTTCTAAACTACTATCTTTTCTTACGAAAATAGTACAGTTAAAAAATCTGTTTTAAATCTCGTAATTTGAGATATGAACAATCCTTGCAGGATTGCCACGAGTGATTTCTGTGAAAATTTCTTAACTTCTTACATACACTACATTATAGACACAATAAATAACAATTACTTCATGACGTCATTGTATACAATACTGTTTACCTCGGTGGAGCTTTTGCTGCACAACGCCTCGTAAATTTTCCAGTTTTCACCTTCTTCGTTACCTTTCCCTTCTTCCATTATGCCTACTTTCACCAAGAAATCAAGTAATACGAGAAAAAATTTAAAAACTACATCTAACTGTGTATCTCGTGTCACTGCTTCCAATACTTGCGTTGCTATGAACGTCAGAAATGTAAACACACAAATCGATTTATTGTCAGGCTGACGACAACGAATAAGTTTCCTTTTCATATACTTAGGTAGATACGAAGTTTGAGAATAGATCTGAATATGTTTAAAATTGACATTTAAAAATCAGGTGTTCGTTTAATTAGTTATTTGGAATAGGTAGAAGAAATGGTTCCTTTATTATGCTAAAACAAAAACGCATAACGTGGGGACACATAAAAAGGGCGTCAAAATTTTAAAATGTAAACATAACAACAATTAAAACCCACGTAAATCGGAAAGATTTCGGACTCCTGTCCATCCAAAAGTTGCCTGGAAGATGCCTGGAAGACATAGACTTTTGTGAAAAGGCGGCCTATTTTGCATTTAAGTAACTATATAGTTATTTACGTACATTATGTGACGCAATAAATGATTGAGTATGTTATCTCCTTATTGAAAATAATCTACACTATATCCCAAAGAAAAGCAACATTTATAACATTTCTTTGGTATGTCTAAATGTATTTTTTATATATTAAAACCACACACATGTCACATTGTTTGACGGCGATAAAATTTAATACTAATCACCCGATTTTAAAATTTATTTATTTGAATGAATCAACGCTACAGGATCTGTGCTCTTCGGTGAGAGAATAAGGTATCGCGAAGCAAGCGTCCTAACTTTAAGGTGCAGTGCATACAGAATTCTGAAAACTGCTTGTGATCCAATCTTCAGTTCAGTCTGAATCTCACGATCTGTAATGTGACTATTCTCCAAACATAACTACTCTACTACCCTGATGACATTTTTATGAGTTAATGCAGTTGTCGTCAGCTGGGGTCATCGTTTATGTTCTGACGATCACGTTTAAATTCACGAAACCAATAAAAACTATTGTAGGAGCAGACTCCCAAAATGAAGCTTTTTTTTTAAATGGGACTTATCCCACCCATACGCCCACCACTGTAACTCCTGTACACCAGGATCCACAGCAGTGACCCACGAACACACCGAGTTATGAGACTCGGGAAGTCCCAGGAAGAAATTAAACTGTCTTGGAACCCGCAACGAAATTAATCAGAAGAAAATTGGAGGAGTTGGAAATACAGTAAATCCACTTCCCTCCTTAGCAAAGCGGGAGACAAAATGAAGTAAAAAATGGGCATACACCCTTTTCAACAGGGAAGCACCACGGCCACAAAATATTACGTGAGCTATATTTGATTGAAAATGAAGCTTGTCAATTTTCGTAAGATTAATAAGAATCATAGTACGTCCATACAATACTAGGCATGCCTTTTAAGTTCTGTCGTTTCCATATTTCCCGGTAATTTTGAATTTGGAACTGTTCTATATTCGAATGTGTTTAAATTTTGAATCTCAAAACAGTTGAAAGTATTAGGATTAATGCTATTGTTTAGTCACAGCGTCGATTGGAATCTGTCAGTTTACGTACGAAAATGAATCTCTCTAAGGAAAATGTTCGTGCAATAATTTTCTAGAAGCCTGAAACAGCTTCAGTGTTTTAAAGAGCTAATATCTGTGTTCAGTGATGAAGCCCCATGTCTGCGGACTGTCGAACGCTGGTATTTAGAATTCCAGCGTGGACATACTGGTGTTAGTGACAAATCTCGCGAAAGACGCCCAAAATCCGCCTTCACTGAAGATAACATCATTGCTGTGAGCCATTTTGAACCGAAAGTGCCGAAAACGATATGGTTCATCATCATCCAAGCCAGTATCACGAAAGGTCCTGTTGCGGAAGGCCCTACCGGTCGTAAAAAGACGTGCACAAACACTTGATTCCTTCAAGAAACAAGTGAAAGCACATTACCTAGGAGACATAAATGTACAATAATTATTAACCGCCTTTTAAGTCAATAAGGTTACATTATTTCTTATATTTAAGTATATATATTTGTATTATTATTTGTATATTATTAATATATATTATACACACCAAGCGCTTCATGCAAGATCTTCTGAATGGTTGTCCCTCAGATGCCTAATAGAGCCTCTATCTCTCGATACGTCACATGACGATCTTCGAGAATTATTGTCTCACAGCAATGATGTTATCTTTGGTGAAGGCGGATTTTGGACGTCCTTCGCGAGATTTGTCACTAACGTAATGTATGTCCACGCTGGAATTCTAAATACCAGCGTTCGATAGTCCGCAGACATGGGGCTTCATCACTGAACACAGATGTTAGCTCTTCAAAACACTGAAGCTGTTTCAGGCCTCTTCTAAAGTTGTAGAAAATTATTGCACGAACATTTTCCTTAGAAAGATTCATTTTCGTACGTAACCTGACAGATTCCAATCGACGCTGTGACTAAACTCATCTTCGGCGTCGTTCCCTTGTGAGTTACTGTGTCCTTAAATCCATTGGAGGAGTACCCCATGTGGCAAGCTGCTCCAATGCTTGATGGCATTCGAAGACAATAAATTTTAAATGATGATGATATTTATTTCTGCAAGTAAATCTTTTCAGATATTTTTACAAGTCGGACTTTACAGCTAGAAGGCGCCGGCATGTTCTATGTCTCGCTCTAGGAAGAAACGCCGAAACAAACCACAGAGGTGTCTTTTTTTTAAACCCGTGACTTTTTTGATATTAAAGAGAACTATGTAAGTGCAGTATAGGGTCTGGGTTCGCCACTTGAAGAAATGACCATCGTTTTGAGTCAGCTCGTCTATACAGACGGCATACGAGCCCCAGCCATTGTGTAACAATCCGGAACGCGACACTGCCACCTGCAGGACACTTGAGTAGACCTTGGAAACACTCAACACCACCAGAAAGTTACTAAAATATGAACTATCATTACAAGCCTATACTATACTCACCTTTATATACTAACACAAAAAAAATACACATGAATGTACAATTCAATTTCAAATAAACAAATTGAAAACAAACGAAATACGAATTAGAACAAAAAATATTAATTTTTGTTGTTCTAATTCGTTTTTCGTTACGCTTCACTTTTACTTAAACTGATACGATACTTCACTTTTATTTGTATTATTACTGTTTATATTCTTTTGTATGTTTAAATAAAAGTCAAGTGTCATCCGCAAATAGCACTAACTCCTGATTATCTTTAATCAGATTAGGTAGGTCATTTATATGAACGAGAAACAAAAATGGTCCCAGAATTGAACCTTGCGGAATAGTGACCATAGTGACCAGAGACCAATCCAAGGATCCAATCACTCAAAAAAGAGATAAGAAAATCCAAAGCAGTATTCCTTATTTCATAGTGATTCAATTTCCTGATCAATGTTTCATGAAAAACGTAATCGAATGCCTTAGAAAAATCACAAAACACATCCAGAGCATCCCGTTTATCCTCCTAAGCTCTAAATATACTTTTCAGTATTCGGATGTTATAATCCTTAATGACTTTTACATGGCCGTTGTGGCGGCGTAATTTGTTGCTACATATTCGCATTGGACTATGGAACTGTGTTGGCCTAACGCTAGTGATATGTTCATATTTAGGTCTTGCAAGATAACTCCGGCTCCACTTCCTGACCCAATCTTGGAACCGTTTGTGTAAATTCGGACTTCGGTAATGCCGGATTGATCTCGTTCATTTTTTTTATCTGAAACTGGTAGCTTTTTGTGAAGATATGGTGTTTTGAGATCGTTTTCCACTAATTGATCCCACAATTTGGAGCGCGATCCCTCACCTTTATGCCTGCCTTTACGCCAACTATTCATCATTAATGCGACGGACAGTTCTCTTTGCAGCGGATGCCTGAAAGCAGAAGACACGGCCGCCCACGTGATCCTGGAATGCGAGGGAGGGGCCACACAACGGGTAAGTATCATACCTGATACAAAATCGCTCTTAGAAGTCTGTTAACGCCCCCGGAGGAGGAGGCCCCCGCTTCTGGAAGGAGCTTGGTTGGCTTACCAAGTCAACCTTTCCTCTACGTATAAACGACCATTCTTGAGTCTTAATTCGGCAACCGGAGCCCACAACCAATACAATTCAGGTACATGTTCGTCTACCGCTTACTATATTTACAGATTACAAACCTTTAGTGTATGCTCTAACTAAGACTAACAGCAATATACTTAGATAGTCCCTAGAAGAGTTAGGCAGTTAGAAACAATCACTTGTCCAGAGCCGATAGATTTGAAGTAGCATTACGTCATCTTGACGACGGATATATTGGACAAATGATACAAGCCTCGGGTAGCCATAGATAACAATTTAAATGAATGCATTTAGAATTTTCTGAAACAGCTATTAATTGTGTAATAATATAATATTACGAATATTTGACCCACAACGACATTTAAGTGTCAAGCTAAGCAGAGCCGTAATGTCTTGTAACTTTAAACGATTGCCCCCGAAACTGCTCAAGTAATTATTTACACCTGATAGAAATTATAGTCTAGGCGCAGAAGCGCAACGACCCTCAAAAAGTAGTGGGTCTCCAATATATTTTTTATGAGAAAAAAATGGTCATCAAAACATTTTGTCGTATTTCAAATATTGTAAGGCTTACTAAATAATTTTGTGTTACGATAAATATTCTTTTTACGGCAACAACATATTTATTCCAATTTATTGTATTTCACATTTTTATTAACATTTTCCAAACACAGTCTTTCTAATTTTGTTTACATTTATGAATTCGTGAGCTAACTCTACAATATCTAATATGTGTGCTCATGAACGTGGCATATTGGTGAATTACTTAATCTGCTTTCATTCATGGTACTTCGCAAGTATGTTTTCAGTCGACGTTACGCAGTAGGTAAAACTGTATTCAAGAAACTACTAAACTTGCTTCGCAAGATGAAGCAGGGCACGTCATTAAAAGTCTAATGAGGCGGCGTAAATCTAGAAAAATGGTAATACAAAGGGTTATCTGGTTCAA